CAAATGGGGAAGAAGGGAGGAAAATTAATTGTGGTAAAATGTTTGTACTATTTTCTCTCCTCGGTTTGCTTTACCTTTCTGGAGCGTGTTATGTTTTTAATGCAGGTGTGTCTGGAATGGCGCCTGTATGCACTTGTTTCCTAAATAGACTCTTTCTTTTGACTAAGCCCAGTGTGACACCAGTGGGAACTTTCAGTTCTCTCAGGGACTGGAACACCACGTGTGTCCGCAGCAAGAGATCACCTGCAGGGAAACTGGCAACAGGAAGAATAAAGCTGTCTTTAAAGCTGATGAAATATTAGTGGGTTAGGCAAATTAGTCATAAAATTCGGGAATAAGGGGATAGCTCCATAGTGGTGAGTAAAGATGTGTTTCCCCACTGCCTTGCTATTTAAATAGGACTTCTTAAAGACCTTTAATTCTTAATACTTTACCTAAATGCTTTCTTCTATTCTGCTACTACATAATCCTTAAATGATCTTCTCACTAACTATGTGCTGTTGCTTGAAACTTTACTAATCCTCTTATGTGAGACAGCAAAGACGTAAAACTCACTGCTTTATTTTATGGGAAAAGGAAAAGACGACAGTAAAAGTAGGTTCAAACTTGAGAGTTGGTTTAATGAAATAAGCAGATAATTATTCAGGCTTAAAGTAATAGCTTACATGTTTTCAGAACTTTACATTTTTTCCCCTTTATGTTGCTAAAAATTGCTAATGGACTGTAGAAATGACCTCCATTTACTGAAGGCAATCCACTAAGGTCTTTTTTAAATACAAATTTTACTTGTTTAAATTGTGTGAATCTGCTTATAAACCTGAACTTTTCTAGTGTCTAATATCTTATATGTATATAGCATCTTGAGCTGTGTGATCCAGATTTCTTCTTCGCTTGAGGAAACATTATGGGAGGTAAATTTAATAAAGAACAAAAATCAGCTTTTGTTTGTTACTGAATCTGCTTTCCTTTATAGCAAATTTCTCCTTGTGAACATGAACCATGATAAAATGTCTGTGAATTCATGATTTAATATGCATCTGTCCCATACATTCTTCTCTGGTAGCTTACATCATGTGGATGTTCTGTCTGTAGAAATTGCTTGACAAAGGAGAATAAACTTCTTACATTTTAACCCTTGAGAGTTTAACCAATGTCTTAATGTGCCTATCAATGTTTATTATTTTATTTTCTGCTGCTCCTTCAAACGTATGTGAGCTCATACTGTGATTGCATTTGGGTGACCTACTTTGTTCAGAATGTTTGCTTTAAAGGTTTTTCATGTTCATTCATTCATCAGGACCTCATTCCCTTTATGGCTAAATAGTATTCTCTTCTATGTATACACGAGGTCAGATGCTTACAGACATCCTCCCTGTAGACAGTCAGTCAGGAGACTACAGAGGCCCCGCTCCCTGCTGTTAAGGACAACGGACAGGCCTGCCGTCATTGATTCCTCTAGGAGGAGTTCACACCCTACCAATAATGGTCTCTCTATCAGTTGAGCCAGGGAACAGGTCAAACCGGCTCAGTGACATCCAAGTTAGGCTGCCATCCTGAATCTAGGATCCGCCCATCTTGTCACATGTATACCCCCAATCCCTCCTCTTTCTATTGTGTGTATATCCCTCTCATTGCTGTATAACCTATAGTACAACCCCTTCCTGTGA